ATAGAAGAAAAAAAAGAATAAAATACAACTTGAACATAATTTGTCTTTTATCAGATTGTGTTCCAAGTCACATGGATGATGGGGACTAATGATCAGAAGAAAAATAACTCAGGATGTAAATGATTTAGCATCATTTTCTGCAGATAGACTGGGAAAGTATGTCATGAGATAGGCTGGACAGCATGAGATAAGTCAGTGACTCACTTCCAGAAGTCATCCTGCCAAGTGACCTAGGCCTATGCCCTGGGTCCCCTTCACTGTCTGAGTACACAGCAGACAGGTCAGAGAACAAACCTTTCTCCACCAGGCTGCTACTTCCCTCTAGTTCTCTCCACAAAAAGGTCCCCCTTAACCCCTCAGGGGTCATTACTTCTTGGTTGTTAGTTATTGGTATGTGAATATATGGTTTATTTTGGAGTAATCGTGTAAAGACAGTACTGCTCTACTGAGGTAGAAAAAGTGTATGTCCAAGGCCCTGGGAACCCAAATTACATCATCCTGACCATATCAAAGTGAAAATTCCTCTCACTGGGAAATAACTCTTTCAAAATTACACAAGAAAATAAATTCAAGCTTTATACTTCATTAGGCAATCTCTGGGTACAATAAACTCAAGGGTGTGCAAATAGATGCCACAATGCTAAAAGGGTTAATATTTTATCCACTGTAGATTGTACATTAACAAATTATATTGGCAAAACCTGAGCTGGATAATGTCATGGAATTAAAGTCAACACAATGATGCTACTGTAAGGTACAACTTTCCATCTATGCTACTTGAAGGCAAAAATATAGTGCTCATGAATTCACAGTGTAGTTACTGAGTGAGGGAGATGGATCGGGTCTCGCAAGTTTAAGATCTAGTTAACACAGACCAAAAGGCCACACTGGACCTCCAACAAAATGATTTGTGTAAACAGGTCTGAATAGACACACTGCTTCATTTCTGGTCATTCTTCATCCTGCTTTCCCACAGTCCTCTGTGGATCTGAAGACTTGGGGATCTCTTACTTAGCATTAGAATATATAGTTGGAGAACTCTGAATGTTGTCATTTTTTAACATATGTGAATATATGGTTTATTTTGGAGAGTAATTATGAAAAGATAATACTGCTCCACTGAGGTGGACAAATAAAGTCTATGTCCAAGGTCCTGGGAACCCAAATTACATCATCCTGACCATATCAAAGTGAAAATTCCTCTCACTGGGAAATAACTCTTAAAATCACACAAGAAAATAAAAGTAATTCAAGCTTTATACTCTTTTTATCCCAGTTATGTGCTTACAAGATCAAAGAAGAGGCAGTTAAGTGGCAGGTAATTAAAAAAAAAAATTTCTGAGGTATTTATTAAAAATTATAAAAACATAATCTAAAACTAGAATTGCACCTCTTGCTTTGTTTTAGGTAGGTTTTTTTTTTTTTAAATATCCCTACAAATCCCATTACATATTTCCAGAAATCATCTTATCCATTTAAATAAAAACAGCAAATTTCTTAATTTTCTGACTGATTAATGCATCTGACTATAATAATTTAAGTCATATGATTGCTCTGGCCTACTGTCTTAAATTAGTGTATTAAGTAATTTAGACACTTTTCTTTGCAAAGGTTGCATGATTTAATAAACTCCCATAGGCCTCAACATGTGCCAGCTCTGCTAGGTTATCTCCAATCCAGCTGCTGTTATGATAACAGTTGCCAACTTTCAAACAAATGAAGGGAATAATGAATAAGCTTCAAGTTGGCTCGTATGTAAACTTATATTGCTCCCAGTAATAACTCGGGCCAATTTCAACTATAAAGAAAATTAATTAAAAAGATTTCACCTCCACTGTTTGAGAAACATGGCACCAGGCAAGCTGCTGAATTAGCGTTTATGAGCCCGAAGCTTCAGGGAAACTCCTATAGTTTGAATTTTAGTCTTAAATGCTATAGGTTTTTTTAAAGACTGAATTTTTTGAGGTAACAGATTAGAAAATACCTGGTCCTTAATTGATAAGATGACTATTTAAGAAGCCTCACACTGCTGGAAAAAAAATATGGGCTTATCACACAAAAAAGGCTTCAAAGACTTCTGAGGAGGAAAGGACATGGGAATGAAAAGGGGCCCATTTATCCAGGAGCTGAAAACCAGGAGAGAGAGCACCCCTCGCAGGGCTGTAGGCCAGGGCCACTGTAGGGCACAGTGGTAAGCATAAAACAGGGTGATATGAGAGCGCTACACCCTTTTTCTAAGAATGACAATACGGCATTGAATTTCAATAAACTGGACAAAACAATTTTTGTGCTGGATCTGTTATTCAGACAAGTGGTTCTATAGAACAGCTGAAACTCTGGTGTTTCCAATAAGCACTAATCTGTTTGGCACAAAGCTATAGTATTTTTATAGAAAGAAATAAGCAGAATATCAGACCAGAGGTCTGTTTAAAATATGCAATTTATTTCTAAATGTCCATTCTAGTTGAAAATTATTCCCTGGATGGGTTCACTTCCTTGAGAAGACAGGGAAACTTCTTTCCTAGCGAGCAAAGCTGGGTCATAGTGTCCTCACAGGAGTGAGGGTATATTATAAGCAACAACAGGATAGACTAAAATAAATACACAGTTTTATGAACTGTATAAAACTAGTCAAGGATTAGCATAGTGATAATATGATTTATTTTTCCCCCAAAGGATACTAGTAATTATTCTCAGTCATCAGCTATCTATATCAGATATACTTTATTGGCTGCATGCTACAGTCTTTCAATACAGCTTATAGATTATAAAATTACAACTAAGTGTGAAATTGTATACCATGATTGCTTCTGCCCTCACTGCATATACGTAATACAGAGTTGAAAAAGAAGAAGGAAAAAAAAAAGCCCTCTTGGGGATGTTAAGTGGTTAGACCATATTCTACAATTCCAGTGATTCACACACTTGAAACTGAAACTGTGGATCAATAGATGTGGGATGGGTGTCTTCCCTAGGCATCTCCAATATCCTCTCCTGGGATCGCTAGAGCTGGGAACACTGGCGATGTCTAAGTGAAGTACTTGGTTCTAGGATCTTCCAGCCAGCTGGAATGGTTCAAAGAAAGCTCCATGGATGCCTCAGGGTAACTTGGAATCCAAAGAAAGGACTACAAGTTTAGCCCATGAATAAAGAAACTATTTTCTAATACTTTGACGAGATCATCATTGACCTCTATATAGCTCATGAATGTTATTTAAACTGTTCAAGATGCAACAAATTTAACAGGTCCATCTTTGGAGCAACATAAAAGACTAGAACTTGTTGTGAAATTGTTGCCCAGTGAAGTAGCCACAGTAGTTCCCCAAACAACTGAGTCAGCACTCACCCAAAGGGAGGTAAAAGAGGTGCTGATTCCTTAACCTCACTGAATCAGATGAATACAACAAACCATTTGGAAAGTGTCCTAGTCTATTCTGCACACAGGAAGCATGTCTGCACTTGGCAAAACCTTGTGCAACAGGTATAAATTGTTGCATTATTTGCTACTGCTCTGGTAAACAAGAGACAAGAAATGTCACAGATGCAAGGGTTGTTTTTGTTTTGTTTTGTTTTGTTTTCCAATTTTGAAAACATTCTATTCACTAGTGCTGGCTTGCCCAAAAGGACTATTACATGAGACAAGTTTACCTACAATAAGCAAGAATAAATGTAACAAAGAGATACATGCTCACAACAGACAGATCTGATATAAAAATCCTATTCTTTAGCCTTGACCTCAGTTCTTTCTGTTCAAGATCAGAAAGTATGAGAGGTGGTAGAGATCAGTCATTCTTCCATCTTCTACTTTGGAAGCTGTATATACTTAGAGATCATTATTCTGGAATCCTAGAATACATATACCTTCTATTCACTGGCTTGAATATTTAAATAATTAGCTATATTTGTCTGAATGTACACTGTCTTTATTTCAGGTAGTTTGAATAATCAAGAAATAATTAGAGGCTAAACAAATTAGACACATAAGGAAAGGTGAGGAAGGAAGGAGAAAGAAAATAGAAGAAAAAGATTTTAAAAGATCTGTGTGTAGTCAGGATAAGTGACTAATAGATGGTGGAAAAAATAATTGCTTATAATTTATATAAACCATCATAACCATAAAATACATGGTACAAAGGTACATAATTATAAACAAAAAGATGAAAATAAAAGTTGTCTTAATTAAGAAAAACAACAGAAGAAAAATATATGTAAGAAAATTATGGAAAGTAGGAAGATCCATGCCACAAATATGCCAGATAAATGACATATCCCAGAGGGAGAATACTGCCTTCCATTTGAGAAAGTTCTATGACCTTGGCTGGCACTGCTGTTTCCTTGTATAATCACAGAAGGCATTCAATGTTGGTGATGATGAGAAGGAGTTTTGAAGAATATAATTATGGACTGCAAGTGTTTTTGTAGAAACAAAATGATCATTTATGCCTGAGATTGTGTAAAATGCTTTAATTTTGGTCAACGACAATTTGAACTTTAAAAAAATTGAATCCCCAAACCTCCTTATAAATTCACAATTCTTCAAGTAAAGCACAGGGATAGCATGTAAAAGCAAAGGCGTTCCAGATACTCTTCAAGAAATGCTACATAGTAGAAAATTAGTGATTGTGTAGTGACATGATGTGGCCTACCTCCATGTCAAAACCAGCCTGCAAATTCAAAAAGCCACATGAAAGGAGATTTTAAGTAGAGCAAAGCTTAAAGCAGTTTTCCTCTAGTGGGTGAGGTATAAAAATGATCATAATACACATTACCTTGGAAGCACTAGCAATCCTACACAAATTAATATTGTATGATGTACAGATGGAAGGTGGAGAGAAAGCAAAAACCACATCAAGGTGCCTAAGGATGCAAAGGCTCTGAAAGCTTCAAAAGTCTCACCTTTTCTCTGGTACCTTTAATTGTGGCTACAATAAGTGCATTTTGCCACAGGCTTTTAAAAGAAAAAAAGAAATGGCCATTTTCTTAAGTGCTAAGAGACTTACTTCTCTTTCAGAAAATCCACCACTCTCCTGAAGTCAGCCACGCAGTATTCTCTCTTCATTGCCATGAGCACGGCGTCCGAGGCGGACTGCACTGGTATGTGCAGGAAAGCATACACACGGGGGTGATTAAGGACTTTCGCCATTTCCTTTAAAAATATGGAAGGAGAAAACATTAATCACCTTACCATATCAGGGAATGGTTTCCTTCAGATCAGCACTCACAAGTGGAAGCAAATAAACACGGCTGAACACAGACGAGTTATGTAGATTCTCAAAGTGAATGTCACCTGCAGTATGCTCTGATGACATTTGGGAATTTAATATTCCTTTTGGATGATTCGACTTCAGAGTTATTCCCTCACGTTCACCATTTCTCTTAGGTGGTAAAACAGAGATAAATTCATGTAATGTCTAAAGAGTAAAAAGAATTTTGATATTTCAACATAAACACTTCTCCTTTGCCTCACAGCAGCTTTATATTCTGCCTATTGCATTACTAGTAGCAGGAGAAACAGCAATTCAGGGGTGGCAAAAGTAGATGTACAGTTGTAAGTGAAACAAGTTTATTTTATTCCTGTATTATTATTAATTACTGTATTATTTTCCATATGAACAACTGTAAATCTGCTTTTGCCCCCCCTCCCCAATATTAAGACAAACAGTTGGTGCCATATAATCCTGTGTTCTTGAATACAGTTTCTAAATTCAGGACACATCAACACTTTATTTTTTTTAAATAATGGAGAAAAATTAATCTATAACTCACCCATTTCTTTTCCAGCTAGTTAATGAACACATTTTGTGAGAACCAGACAATGACAACTGCCCTGGTCACTACTGACATCTACCTTTTAAAATACCACCAAGTTTCAGAGAAAAGAAATAAGGGGAGGAGAGGATGAAGAATTTATCTTGCAAAGTTAAGGAGAACAAATTTGAGTGAAACAAATTAGAAAGCCCAGAGATTGTTTTAAAATTCCTCCAAGGATACAAAGGGAAGAGGAAAAGAGTAATGAAAAAAAAGCTGTAGTAATATAACCGTCTACACAAACAATGAGGAATATGGCTGATTTAGCCCAACTCCACTGTTCTAAGCAGTGTCCTCATCAGTGGGAGGATAGGAAAGCAGGTGGAGGTGAAGGGGAAAAGGAGGGACAAAGGGAAGGAGAGGACAAAAAGAGTGCAAAGAATCAATAGAGATAAAAAAGTCAAGAAAGGACCTTCTTTTTTAATAACTTGCATGTGTCCAATGGTTTTCAGTTCCCAAAGTTCTATACTTCTACATGTCATTTTATTTTATCCTTAGAACAATACTTTGAGAGATTTTATGGAGTAAAAGAGTCAGCTAATTCCATATGGTCATCTCCTAGTTATTCTGGGGTAAGTCATTCTTATTTATCAACCATGACCTCTGTTTCTCCATTTTTTTTTTTCCCATTGACTATGAAAATTAGCTTTTTTTTTTTTACCAAAGTGGAAGAGCAATTAAATTTGTCACCTTCTTGGTAGCAGCTTAGTTGTTTTAAAAAATCTGTTTGGCTAAGTAATTCAAATAACCAGACAACATAACTCATGAATATCTTTTATCTACCTTCACTACCAGATTATACACTGAGTGGCCAGATCTCTGAACACATAATAATTTGGCCACTCAGTGTATATCCTATATAATAATAGGCTAATATGCAAATTGTCCCCTCAACCAGGAATTCAGCCAGCAGGCAGGCTGGCCAACTGCCCATGTCCCCTCCCCCTAGCCAGGCTGGCCGAACCCCACCCATGTACAAATTCATGCACCAGGCCTCTAATATATAGTGTGTGTGTGTGTGTGTGTGTGTGTGTGTGTGTGTGTGTACATGGGTGTGTGTGTACAAATTCATGCACCAGGCCTCTAATATATACTCTGTGTGTGTGTGTGTGTGTGTACACACACACACACACACACACACACACACACACACACACACACTGAGTGGCCAGATTACTATGCGTTCGGAGATCATAATAATCTGGTCACTCAGTGTATAATATGCCTCATTATATTTGGTTACTATTTGTTTAATGTATTGGACCTGGAGTAGAAGAATTTCTTTTTTAGCAGAAAAATAACTGATCAACATATTATTAGAAACTTCCCTTCACAGAACTGTTACAATCCTTGGCTGGGTATTCAGTCAGCAGGCATTAGGATAACACTGATCCTGATTTACCCTATAGTAACTATTTGGCCTTCTGCTATGGTTCTCTGCTTTCACACACTTCACATCTGAAAATCCACATTCCCAAACAGTAGGGGGGTGAAGGAGGGGAAGAGAAATGAAACAAAAATCTTGAGAAATAAAATTTCACTCTTAATATTTATGCCTTGGTTTTCTCATCTGTAAAATGGAAAACAGTGGTAATGTCCATCTCAGAGGGTTACTGGACTACTGTGAAAATAAAATAATACAGTAGGTGCTTATATGTAACACTCAATATGTAAATGATCTAATATTGCTCTAGATAGTTTGGCTCCGTGGATGGAGCACTGGCTGGGGACTGAAGGGTCCTGGGTTTGATTCCGGTCAAGGAACAAACCTCAGTTGCAGGCTCCACCCCAGCCTGGGCCCTGATCAGGGTGTGTGCAGGAAACAACCAATTGATGTATTTCTCAAGATGTTTCTCTCTGTCTTTCCCTCTCTCTTCCACTCTCTCTAAAAGTCAATGAAAAAATATCCTTGGGTGAGGATTAAAACAAACAAAAAAATGACTTAATCTTCTTATTCCTTGGAGAGTATGTAAAATTCATGGGAACACATTTTCATACACATTAATGTAAACCCATCAATAAGTGGAACAGCTTTTCAATAAGCTACTTCCCTTAACTAGTAAGTGAAGGAGAGGTCATTTGTATTGATCTATATAAAATAAATTTGAAGGTTGTCTCCATGCAAACATGACCCCAACCAGAAAGGGCAATGCAGTTTTTCTAGAAGCACACAGGGTGGCTTAGGATATAAACAGGGACTCACCAGAGGAAGCCTGCCCCCTTACCGCATGACCGACCATTTGCAAACTAAACTGCTAATAGGAAACAAGGAGGGTAAATGTGGTGGGTTTCCCCTTTGGATCTCATTACTTCCCACTCATAACTTTATAATGGTAGGCCATAGGACAGGAAATGAAAATAAACTTGCCCTTCATTAAAGCCTCCTAAAAGAGTCATGTCTGTATATAACGTACTCAAAAGAAACAGATTTTTGTTCAGTTTTTTTTCTTCTATCCTGATCTCATTCAACTCTGTTGGTTCAAGATAACCTCTGATCTCTTCACCTGTCCAAATTCTTCTGTTTGAAGGTTCAGCTTAGAGCTAAGATTCTCTTCTCCTCTGTGATTCCCCTCATTTAAGAGGGTGCCTTCTCCTCTGTGATTTTCTCCTTTGTAACCTGCTCCTGTTACCAAGAGCTCCCTTGCTTCTGCTCTGCAGTATGATGACCGATTTCTAAGATAGAGCAGGGGCTATGCTTTCATCCTCTCTCTGGGCTTCTACAATGGCTGGAACTGTGTTCAGTGCAACTCCAAACTTACAAAAATATTCGGCTTAGAACTGCATCAGTATACATAGAAAGAGGTCTAAAATATAATTGCTATCAGATAGGAAGACAAATTTTCAATTAGTAATTGGCTAAAGCAGGTAAACAAGCATATATGCAAGCTTCTAAATAAGCATGTAATCAGCCTGCCTTGATTTTTGGAATAAGTTAAAAATTATATGTAAATATACAAGTCAATATATACATAAGTAAAACTCAAACACTTCATTGGTTCTATTTCTAAAAGGAGCTTCAGATTGGATTCTCAGTGTACTATAGTATGAAAATGATGTATGGGGTCCAGATTCATCAGAAAGAAAGGGGCACTTGCCTCAAGTGTGGCTAACAGAAGAATGGCAGCTCTGAGCAACCTGAGCTCTGACCTGGGGGAGAGAGTCTGAGTACACAGGTAAGTGTGCATGCAAACAGTACCTATTTTAATATAAGGACATTTATAATTTAAGGGTTGATGTATCCAGATGGCTTAGAATACAGATGGTGACCATGTTATATGTAAGGACCAGAAAATGGCTAACCAGATTACCAAAACAGTAGTGTTTCTACCTGGTGCTTTTACGTGGAGCTTTCCTATTACAAACTGGGAATGATCTCAAGGTTTGCCACATTTTTATAAACTTAAAAAGCAAAGAAAAAATAATGAATTGAGTGAAAACAGGCTTAATTTTAAAAAGCAACCTTGTGTGTGGGAACATTTTTCTTTAAATCTTAAGTTTCATTTTTATTGCCCTGCAGTCATCAAATTAATCATTGTATTCGACCTAGTTTCGAATATAAACACTACTAACTTAACAAAGTCCCTCAGTGTGTGAGAATTATAAGGCATATTAATACTTGCATTCAGATGTCTCTGCATTCCCATTAATAATTACCAACCAGGAAGTCCTCTCAGCTGATAGCTTTGTTAGGAAGTATATGCATATTTAAAATGCTAAACTTTACACTGTCATGTTGTTTTTCAAGAAACATGACTAAGAAAGACAATACTTCAAAAAACAGAAACTGCACCATTTAAGCATTTTAAAAATAGCTTGAGATAAAATTCGTATATCATAAAATTCACCCATAAAAAGTATGCAATTAAATTAAACTACATTTATAGGATGGTGCAACCCTCACCACAGTCTAATTTTAGAATATTTTCATTCCTCCAAAACAAACCCTGTACCCACTAGCAGTCTCTTATAGATGTCCCTCAGTCTATTATACAATTCCTTTCCCCCAGCCCTACTCAACCAACCACTAGTTTACTTTCTAGCTCCATAAAGTGCTATTCTGGACATTTCATATAAATAGAATCATACAATATGTCTTTTGTAGTTGGCTTCTTTTACTTATAATGTTTACAAGGGTCACCCATGTTAAACTATGTAATTTATTTAATTTTTTCAATGAAATAGAACATGATTTTAGAATTTATTAAGTATGTCATTTCATGCAAAACTATTATCTTGATTAGAAAAATGGGGGTAGGACTATAAATGAAAAAGTCTTATGGTGCCCATTGGGTTTTTTTTTGTTGTTGTTGTGGTAAAATATATGTAACATAAAATTCA